TTTCTCCCGTCGTTCAAAGCATATTGGAGACTCTGTGATTGACTGGCAGCCTGTCCAAAGTGTCTCCTTACCTTCACCCAGATGCATCCTGGGATATGCTCTGTTGCCCTCTTGACAATGAAAAGGGAAAAGCAGGTAAGGAATATAAATGGAAGGCGAGGTTCAGACAGAACGATGCGGTTCGCACACTGAGAGCTTTTAAGTGAGAGATTGTCCTCCGAGGCAACAGAGAACATGTTATTTTATAAAGTGCACGGAAAGTTCCTCCAGCTGGAACAGTGCGGCCTCTCTGGGGAAACTACTTAACCTCACAGGTTTAAATACAGCTCCGGCTCCGTGTCCCTCAGGTTTCCAGCACTCTTAGAGATTCAGTCGAAGGCTTCGGAGCAGGAACTGAATGCCTTTTATTGAACTTTTCCAGAACAAATCAACACTCAGCTGTTTAAAGAATACAAAGCATTCATGCCGATTCTAAAAGGGATTTAAAGGTCACCTATTATGCGAAATCCACTTTTTCATGTCTTTTATACATCACCATGTGTCCCCTCTGTAAAGAGATTCTGAAAGTTTCAGGAAAAAAGATTTGCTCTCCTTTTGTCCTGATCCATTTATATAAAAACCTGTCTGAAAATGAGCTGATCAGATTTCGGCCACTTTATTGATGTCATAACGATTTTTGGGCTTGTGTAACCACAAGTGTAACCCCCCCCCCCCCCCACCTTATCTCCTCCTCGAGCACCACTGTGTTCTTTTTAACTAAATATCCAGGGCTGTCCCTGGCCAACTTGAGGCCCAACGCAAAGTTAGATGATGAAGCCCTCTGTTTCGCGAGCGTCGACAGAGGTTAGTGGAGCCTCGCAGCGGCGAAACCGTGCCGCGCCACACTAATTGCAGCGCATAGGTGCGGCTCAGTTGAGGCTCCCTCCACAAGGTGAGGCCCCCTCCGCGAGGTGAGGCCCCACGCAGTCTGCGTGATCTGCCTGTAGGGAGGGACGGCCCTGCAAATATCTCGCAGAGGGGCGTGGGGAGTGGCTCCTTATTTTCATCTAAAGTAACAGACACAGAATCAGCACTTTTGAAACAGGGCTGAAACAGGGGATTATGGGATGCTGCAATGATCTGTTTGGTGTTTGGAGCCAAACACTTCAGAGACATGTTTTGTATATATCTGAGACCTATAATATATTGATGAAAAACAGTATAATAGGGGACCTTTAATACTTTTCTCTCATATGCAGACAGCTCACAGATATGACATAACTAAATTAGCCCAGGGAAGTGTGATGCATCTTTCCAAATGTCAAGCTATATGATGTTCTCCCTTGGCATGGTTCTCTAAAGGTTCTTGGTTTGAATTGTTTGTTGTAAAACATTTATTTTTTATTTAACCGTGTTAATATATTTTACAAACGGAAGAGCAATAACACATGGCCTAGAGGGAGCAAGATTGTCAGTCACAGGCCCAATCCCAAACCGCCCCCTACACCCTACCCCTACACACTACCCCTCCGTTTGCGCGTTCGCGCGGAGGGTCCGCCACATTAAGTGCTGTTCCAAACCAACGAGTGTGGAGAGGTGTGGAGGGGGAGTGGGCTATCAAGCCCTCAAACAGCGAGTCTGCAACGGTGCTGACTTCACCTGCTGCCCTACCTGACCGGTCTCAACGCTGTGTGTGTCCGTCAGGAAACACGCTGTTTACAAACAGTTCCAGCAAACATCCACTGATAAACTGCGATGTTAACAACCTCATATTTTTTTAACTTAGGATCATACCTGTGTTTAGTCTAGAAAAAGGTAAATGTGTGCATTTTATTATAAAGTTGTGTATATTTACAGACTTTTGCAAAAACTAAGAAGCTTATAAACATCGGGTTTAAAACTAAAAGAGCTTTACAAAAAAGTAACACAATGAAAGATGTTTGGAGTTTTATTTGAGTTATTAATTTACATTGTTTTGTCTAAGAGATGCTGATTTGAAACCGTTGTTACATACAGTTACAGTACGGCATTTCCTGTTTCTGCCGGAGAGAGGGGAGTTTGTCCCGAAGCTTGCCGCTGTATTTACTCCCTCCATCTGACAGGAGGGAGCCTCATTCAGCTGCGAGTGTGGCTACAGACGGAGTTCACTCCGTCACGGAGGGGTAGGGTCGAGGGAGTGGTTTGGGATTGGGCCTAAATGTTACCACTTTGTGTGAAATTGTGCAGTGACCTTGACCTTTGACCTCCCACATTCTTATTTTCCTTTGTGTTCTCCCTATGTCTGACCCTTATACTCCTCCTTAAAACCAAATAATAAAATGATATAAATATGACAAAAGTGAGAGAAAAACTGTAAATGTATCAAATGTATTCTATTGTTTGATTTAGGATTGAAGAGGAGTTTTTTAGTTTGACGAAAAAACGTGCGTTCTGGCCTCAGTGAACTCTTTAAAATGTTTTTATATTTGCACATGAGTGTTTTATGCGTACAGATCTGTCCTCTGGACGCTGGCCGTGGCTTGCTGATGAAAAACAAAATGTCATCATGATTCCTGGCCTGTGAAGGCATGTGACGGTTGAAAGAGCAGGTGTGTGTGTGTGTGTGTGTGTGTGTGTGTTGTGTGTGTGTGTATGTGTTTGTATGTGTGTGTGACAGTCCTGATGCCAGAGTGATTGATAACTCTCCTCTCGGAGCCGGAGCTCGTTTTCAACCTACTCAACTCTGTCCTGTATAATGCCAGGTTGCCATGGTTACTCTTGCTCTTCATACAAGGAAATGTGGAGGGAAAAAACCGGAAATATGTCCTCCTCTTTATGAAAGGCTCTTGCGGAGCCATCCTGGGGGGTTGAGAGGAGAGCGCGGGATGATTTTTTTTCCGGGACACAGAGCAAACATTCAGCCTCTTCTTCAAACACACCGAACCCACAGCTACTCTCTCCTCTGCGATGTGGAGAAGTGGCTGAGCTGATTACCGCTGCAAACTCATTTTCATCCTTATTAAAGCAACTCATTTCCATTTCCACGACATTATCACTGAGTGCGTGCCAGAGGTGGCTTTGATTTCTGCACTGCTCTTTGCGATAATGACCTCTAGTGGTTCCAGTGGAAACAAATGAAAGGGACTCACACTGAAGCTGTTTTTTTGAAAGAGGTCTAAATGATGAAAGATGCCACACTCTGGTTTTTTTCATTTCTGTTGATGTCGTCGACGGTGCCAACACATGAAATGTAATCTCGCACACGCCTTGTTGCAGTTGCCTAAATCCCCATCATCCTTCGTGTGACACTTAGACACAGAAGTTAATCTTTTTATTTACAGAGTCTCGGTGTGAGCCAAAACAGACAGACAGACTTAAGACATAAACAGGATGAGACGCCTGCAGGGGGATCAGTTTGAACAACCTCCCACTTAGACCCACAGTTTCCTCTGTTGAAGGCCACATGATGTCCCCTAGTCCCCTGTTTTTAACTCCAAATTACACTTAGCTTGTGAGCAAAGACTTATTTAATTGACATCCTTTCATTTCCTTTTCTTTTTTATTCATTATACTGTCTTCGGCAAGGCCAAATAAGATGAAATCTCTCTGCATTTGAATACAAACCAGCATGCATTCATGCCTGGATCCAATAATGGCCGCTGATGGATGCCTGACCCACTTTGAAGATGTTATGCCCCGTAACAGCTGACCCCGGCGGGCAGAGAAAGCAGCCATTAGTGCCCCTGCTGGTGGGTAACTAATAACAAGAACTTGTATTCATTTTCCCAGCAGCTAAATGCTAATCAATTTTCATGAATAATGAATTGCATGAAATTAAATGACTGTTTGGAATAGGTGTCCTTATAATGTTATGAGATGAGTATTATGTTGTAATTATTATTGTATTATGCAAAGGACATGTTCATCCCTTGCAGCTTTAATGTTGTAATTATTTGTGTTGATTTCCTTTACTGCCTTTAGTGCAGAGCAGTCTTCTCTCAGGATGAAAAGGACCAGCAGAGGGCATTCATGTGACATTTCCTCTCCCAGCCTGAAGGCACAGCAGAGGCCTTTAAAAGGTAGCTTTGTCTCTGTTGTGAAAATAATCTTGAATGCGGAAAGACACTGATAAAAGTCCTGGGTTACTAAATGACCCTAAAATAGTCTGCGTACGTGACATGTTCATATTTAGAGAGAATAAGGTGAGTCATTTCTCAACTCTGTCTGTTTAATCATGAGTCTGAACACATAATGCAATACCTGTAGGGAGAATTCAAATCTTCCTAAATACGCATACAAACACGTCAGGCAGCAGCAGCAGTTCGTAGACTACACAAATACTCATTTGTACTCAAACTCCATGGTCACTGTTAACCACACAGTAACAGAATGACAGGTAGAGGCTGTCACAAAGTATTTTGTTGTGAAACCCCAGAGTTTGAATTCAGCTGATTTACTGTTTAAAATGTGACCTCACCATGAGTCAGGGTTTACTGAATGAGATGGCAGTGATTCAACATGACCGGTACACAACACTCATCCCTACTGCTGCTGACCTTGTTTCAAAATCTGCCTGCAGTTACAAAAAAAGCTGTGTCATATCTGAGAATCATCATTACTGTGTATCTGCTCCGTCTTTCACTGGAGGTGTTGGAAATGATCAGCAGTCCAGAGGAGTATTTCCTCTGAAGGACGTTGCTCCTACGCATTATCCGTGCTTCTTCTGTCGGCACAAGCCCCTGCCTGCCCGGGAGCTGCATCGATGCAAAAAGGCATCAGTATTTAATTAATATAATTACAACCACACCAGTCAATGATGAGACTTTCTGGGAGAGAAGAAGGTGGCGTTACCAAGTCGTCTTATGTATTTCTTTAGTGATATAAGTTTAATATCTTGTGTATTTAGGTTTAAATTCTTACAATCATTGCGATTTAACCTCCGAGGGCAGCAAATGAGCACATGTGCTTATTGAAAACGTGATTTTTCTGTTTAAGGTAGACTTTTATTGTTCTGTAAACATTCAAACACATCTTACGTTTCTTTAAAAAATAATTTATTTAAAAAGAAAAAGGCAAACCACATTCACTTCCAAACTAAATACATAAGTACATGTTGTTCTCTTCAGGTACCATCAGGAAAATCTATTCTGCTGAGGTTTAAGTACACTACATTTTGTTCAGTACAGGCTGCCACATTAAATTGTCCACCCATGTGTCTGCATTTCCTCTGATATTGGCCCGTTTATGTCCAGATTTCCCTCCCAGTATGAAAGCGACTGCACTCTCAGGCTGAATACATGTCATAAAAGCAGCATCTTTTCAGCGGCTGAAATTGACAATCTGTTGTGTCTCCAAAGTACAGCTGTTAGCTGACTTCCATGCAGCTCTGCGCAGTGTAAATTGTGCAGTGCAGTTGGAAAAAGAAAAATGCCAGGAGCAGTGGAAACGCTCCATGGCAGCAGCCAGAGCAAAAAGGAATTATAACATGGCTGCGAGACATGCAGATGGAAAACTGGAGGGGGGGTTTAAATATTGGACTTTCTTCTCTTTTTCATCACCCAAAAAAAGAAAAAGAAAGCCTGAAGCTTCTCTCCAGTTCAGTGCAGATGACTGGAAGTCTTAGCTGGAGTGAGACGAACCTCACAAATCCATATCCGCTGAAAAGGCTATTGTATGACAGCTGGAAAAACAGCAGCAACACTTGAGCTCATCCAGCACGCCGACACCACTTCCGATGATGACACACAGATGGAGAAAACAACACCCGTCCCAAAGCTGTGATATAACTACTCATTTTTAGCAACTCAGGACATTCAGTTTAACTGAACTGCAGACTTTCAACATACATATACAGTAGTTTCAGTGCTTCAGTTTGTTTCTCAAAACTTGTTTTAGGAAATCTGTCAAATCAAACTCTTAACATACTTAAGGTCTATCAAACACAGCACATAATACAACACATCATTCACTTTCCATGATTAAAACTTAAAGCATTCAGTCACTGAGTTACAAAAGAAAGCGTAACACCACCATACACATTTTTGCTTTACATTATACAGTATTTTTAAACATGTCAGCAACTGCCAACAAATGTAACTCAAATATTCATCTCATACATTAACATAAACATTAAAAGCCAAACTGTCAACCAAAAAGTCATCTGATGTTTTAAACCTGTCCCCCAAAAGGGCTTTTTTCTGGGTTTCATCTTTTAGAAAACTTATATTAAATAAATACTCTTTTAAGCTGGTTTTCAAATCACAGGCGTCAGAACTTCCTTTTAAACAGCAATGATAGGTTTTCTAAATGGCACGTTTATCCATGTGAGGTGACAAGATGTTCCTTTCTTCAAATGTAAGATATCCTGTTTTGTGCAGATATTATAGAGTACTAATGAACTGGAATGACGCTGAGGAATCTTGTGGGGCCGAGTCTTATCTTAGCTCTGTTTTCTGTTCACTGTGTCTCAGTAGTGTTGTCCAGTGAGATGCTGGCCTGCTGCTTCCTCTGCCTCCTGCGCCTCCAGAGCAGCACGGCCAGCAAGAGGAGCAGCAGGAAACCCAGCGCCCCCCCGATGAGTCCCGCCTTCAGAGGCAGACTCCTGTCCCGTGGCTTGAACATCGAACAGGACCCCTGACTGTGCCCAGCATCGTTCACCGCCATCACACAAACCTCTGAGATGTGCTCGATGTCGCCCACTCCACCGTTCCTTCGACTCTTCCCAAACGTCTGCCTCTGTTCCCCCCCGACTGTCACACTAAAAGCTGTGACGTGGGAATAAGGTGCACACCACTGAACTATGACCTCTGACCCATTCCAGGTGACCGATGTCAGGGTGGGGGGCTGCGGGCGCACATTATGTAAAGTGAAGCCTGGACACAAGCAGCCGGTGGAGGCAGCCAGCTCAGTGCAGGGGATCTGACTCTCCAGGCAGGGATTGTATTTGCATTTCTCAGTTTTCTGTCCATGCGGAGACACTTTACTCTGTGTTATAGGGGTGACTGTGACTTCATCGTCGGGGTAATCATCTTCCCGAAACACAAAAGACTCTGTTGAAAGCCCACGTGTTGCTTGAGGACTCATGGGATACGTGCCTGGCACTTGTGATGTTGTAGGGAGGGGATGGTAACCTCTGATGAGAACCAGGCAAACGATCGCCAGGGGGAAAGGCAGGTCCCTGCTGGCAGCCATCATCTTTCTGGAAATGAGAGAAAGAAAGATTCCATCAGTTAGTAGGAAAATCTGTTTTTCAGATCAATGAAAAGCATCAACCCCTGGGGCTTCCAGCCATGTACTAGAGTCTCTTCTTTTCCCCGCATGAAAGACGCTGAATGAGGACATGCAGTCATTTCTTCACTGATGCTGTGTCTTTTACAGGGTATATAACTGCACAGGGAATGTAACAAATAGCTTAAATGTGAGCCTAGTGCCTGCTGGGAAATTGAAAAAGAACTCACAACATTAACTGTCTAAAAAGCAACGCACACTGCAACTGTGGACACTTAATTAGTTAAAAGTTTTATTCTGTGGCATGTTTGTGAAGGATTTATAGTCTTGTTAACAGAGCTGCTATGATTAATCCCCACTTGTTAAGATTTGGAGGTACTTCATACTAATTCAGCATTCCAGGCATATTACACAACAGGTCCAAATGCCTACACACCCAAGACTGAGCGCAGCCCTCTGAGCTGGGTCCAGTTACAGGACAGCTGCAAGTGCCGTTTCCACAAGAATCCACACAAACATACTTGAAATATGTGCTGTGCTGGACATGCATAGAGAATCGACAATGGATCCCATTCACAAAAGTCCTTGGAGAGATAAGTCTGTTTGACCTCATTAAAATAGAGCAGGAGCCACTATTGAATACTACTCTGTGCTATTTGTTTAGCCACAGCTAGGCTACGATCTCTTGTGTTAAATAATAAAAAGTTATAAACCTACCTGTTGATGCAAAGGTTTTAAAATCTGATTGAGAATGAGCTCCGTTCCCCTTGTCTTTCCGTCCACTTGTTCCCTCTTTTGCTCTCTCCTCCTGTATATATTTCCCTTCTCCCAAACAATCACCTCCTTCTTTCTGCCCTCCTCCCACAATCCCCCCTTATTCCCGACTGTGCTTGACCAGCTCCACCTCCCTCTTTGCTGAATGCTATAGTTATGTGATTGCTGTTAATGGCATGATTACTATAAGCTACAAAATGACATCATTTACTGGTGAAGTGAACCATGTGCATTCCTTAGCGGGGTGCAGATTTCTTTAGAGCATGCACTTTTTGTTAATGATCTTTTGTTTTCCTTTTATGGCTGAGCGAAATTGAACAGGATTTGGTAATGTCTACGTCAGGGCTTTTATTCATTATAATTCATCATCCCTGACATCTGCCAGTAATTTCAGACCGCCTATTCCATCATCTCAACCACATATCCTATCACCTGAAAAAAATGTATGACTTTACTGGTGTGCTGTTGTTCACCAAAAAGGCCGGAAATCAACCTGACTGTACTTGTTCTGGAAAAGATGTCTTAAATAACTATGCTGGTATTTTTCTTAAGAAGACTAAAACAGTCAGAATAAGAAGTACAAGTTGTGGTGATTGTTTTTAGATATAATTTACATCACAACTCCAGTCAGCGCTTTCGGGAAAGAGAAGAACTGAACAATATGTTTATGTGACATGTGGGAAAGCAACTTTTCCAGATGTAGCCGGCCACAAATCCAGCTGCACGCTTTCATCTCAGGTCTGACTTTGAGCTTAGACCACAGAAAATATGGGCACTATTTGTTCGGATTGCCCTGTACCAGAAGGACTGTGTTCAGTATGCTCTGACTGAGAAAACAATGATATCAAAATAATAATTTACTTACTCATTAAACAACACGAATGACTATTTTACCCCAATATACTAGATCTAACACCTGCATTATTGTTGTTATTTCTGTTTACCTTTTATCATTATTATTATCCTTGTGTGAATTATTATCTACGCGTTTCCCTTTCTTTTCTGTTGCTTCTTTAACACCATCTTATCTTATTATGTTTCTTATACTGTTATTGTATATTTTCCATCTTGTATGAGCCGTGGGTGACTCAATGTGTACATTACCAGAAGGACTGTGTTCAGTCAGCTCTGACTGAGAGAACAATTATATCAAAATGCACTTACTCATTTAACAACAGGAATGACTATTTTACCCAAATATACTAGATCTAACACCTGCATAAAGACATGTTTATATGTTATTGTTGTCATTTCTATTTATACTGTTTATTTTGACCTTTTATCAGTATTTTTATCCTTTAGAATTCTTATCTACATAATCTGTAACACCATATCTTATCTTACCTTATTATGTTTCTTATACTTTTATTGTATATTTTCTATCCATCGTGTATGAGCCGTGGGTGAGTGAATGTGTTTGGGTCTTACTGGATACAGTGTGGGTGTGTACGTGTGAAGGAGAATATTTATACATATATTTTTATGCAGGAATATGGGTAGGTTTATGTATTGCGTAACACAGGCTGTGTGTATGTATTCTATCTGATTTCTACACTGAAAAACATGCATTTATTTTTGCTTTATTTCTTAATAATTCATGTTCATATTCGGAAGACTTTATTGACCCCAGGGGGGAAATACGGTTGTTTTCCAGCTGTTCTGGTCTAGGGAAAAAAATAGAATTCTAAGTTATGGTACAGTTTAGTCACAGAGTTTAGGCAGTTTTATGATAGACATGTAACTAATCACAGGAGTGGCATAAGGCCAGGGGTGAAATGAGTCAGTTGTATGCCTGTAAATGGTTTATCCACAATTGGAGAAACGGTGTCACAGTCTTTTTATTAGGTAGTGTGTCAATATGAGCAAGAAATATTTCTGTTGTGACAAAATAATCAGGCAGATAAAGAAGTGTTGTAACATGACCCACAATGCACTGCCCCTCTTGCCATGCAACACATCACTTTTCCCCCAACCACTGTGGCTGGTATGAGTCTGCTTTCCTCATTACGAACGGTTGCATGTGAATATAGTTTTTTATAATAAAGAAATAGAAGCGACCCAAGTCAATTCAACAGGGTCCCGTTATAAGGCAAATTAATAATGATATCCATAAAACTAGAACTGACATGATTCTTCTTAAGAATCACTCAATACTTTACTTCATCTTTAAAGGATCCAAGAGCTGGTAAACAGGGGAAAAAAATTGGGAACTGCAACACACTTTTTAAAGTATAATGTGATAGTTATTACATAAAAAACAATAATACGTGATAGAAATAATAATAAGGAAGAATAACTTAAATAAACAAATGTTTAAGTGTTAATTCCTTCCTGTTTGGGAAGTCATTTCAATTACATAAATTATAAATGTAAGGTTTCTTACTTCAGTATTATTAAAGCCGTCTACAGTGCCCCCTACAGCCTAAAATAATAAGGGAAACACGCAAAAAAAGGAGGAATTGAACTTGGAGCCAGGCGAGCCGATGTCCGTGTTTCCTCACTTGGTGTGGTTGACAGTAATTCGTTTTTTTAATTTGTTATCATGGATTGCATTTTGACATTGAACAGTTCATCTGCGAAGCATCACAAAGTTCATGATACGTTTGGCCTCTTTCACAGCATCCTGCAGCACACTGTTGAGGATGAAGTGGTATGTCTTCCGCCGGTTTCAGAGTATATATAACCATCTGAGAGGTCAATGACCTGAGTGTGCTTTGGATTTTGAACCCGCAAATCTAATTTAAGATTGAAAAGAGGAAAACTATAGCTTTTTTCCGCAAATGGCTGCTGCACAGCCACGAAGATTGGGTTGCATTTCGCCCTGATTTGAAACTTGCAGGCTTGTAAATAGGACCCAATACACTTGTACATTAGGGCAGTTTAGACAAGATATTTCTTTAACATTTTGAGGGACTTTACTTGAGTAATTAAATGTTTAAAAAAGTTTGCTTCTTTTTACTTCAACTACAATTCAGAGGTATATCGTGTACTTTTACTCCACTACATTTATTTAATACCGTGAGACTCGTGAGTTACTTTGCACATTTGGATTAATAATGTGACTTGTAACAGAGCATTCCTACATTCTGGTACTTTTACTTTTAGTACAAGATCCGAGTACTTCTTCCACTTGTAGCTAATTAGCAAGTTATGCAATGGTGCAATATGAAGCTGTGTAATTGCAAAAGCCAATGAGCTGCAAACTAAATAAATACATTTTCAATGGGATAGCCTATTATGTAAAGCATTTGTTGACACATATTGTCTTTTGTAGCAGGTAAACAATGTTGACATTAAAAAAAGGAATCCAGAAACAATTATTTTATTATTCTGAGAGTTAATTCAACTAATCAATTGCTGTTTATCTTGATGTCATTTTGCCACCCCTTTGGTAAACTTGTGAAACTGATTGAACTAAATACGAATGAATAAAGAAAAGTACTAATTTGGCTGATCGAATCGCGTAGTTTGGAAATGTATGATCTATGTTAATGTGTACTAATTATTGATGCAATATTGTGTACATGACTTTAATTATGCAACTGTTGAAAGTGGAGCATATTTAAATGTCTTAACATACTGCAGGGTAGCTTAAGCTATGGTATTATTGTATAATGTAAATTATATTTACCACTTTGTATACAGAATTATATTTGACCTTTTAGATGAAAAGCAGAAAAGAAGAGTCTGAATGTAGGGTTTACAAATTGTATTGTCTATACATACATTTTCAATGCAACAATTATATAAAGAAAAGATGTTTCTAATATGCAAGATGTAATAGAAATATGAAATGCTTGGCAAGCAAACGGATAATACATTTAGAAAGGAGCACTATGGTTTATTTATAATGCTCTGCTGAAAGGATGAAACTCCCTTCAAGACAACACTCAGGGCACAGTGAACACAGGCTTCTCTGATGCCATTCCTGTGCGACGGGCCTCAGCACAGAGCAGTTCCGCTGGCTGAGGCAGGAGATGGGTGAGTCGCTGCTGGGGACCACCATGGTATCACTGAACAATAATCTACGGACTTGAATAACGCCGGTAAAGACAGTCAGCTGTTTCCTCCTGCAGAGTCACGGTGTTTGCAAGAGGACGTTTTTACCGACTCGCGTTTTTAGCTTTAAAGCTAGCAGGCTAATGTGAGCTAGCGGTACCGGGGCCCTGCGAAGAGTTCATTGTTTTTGTCAGCCACGCCAGATAAACATAACTTGGGCAGATGTAATAGCGGTTCGTTGTTTTAATATACAACACTTGCAGGATTATTCCAGTTGGTCATAATTTTAGACTGTTTTAATAGCTCATCAGACGTTAGCATAGCCTGTAAACGCTAGCAAACTGCATTAAAGCTAACTTTAAAATCATGACTGCCCGGAGGACAGGCTATGCTGCTGCTGGCATGGTCTCCACTCCCTCTAATAGCGGAAATGGAAATCGTAAACAGAGCTTAATAGACAGGACCGGGGTCGACTCCTGTTATGACCGGAAAGGAGCCCCGCAGGGCGGCATGACCGTCACGTCGCTGAAGACCCGGCTCGCCCCGACCATCCAGACCGCCATGTCCGCTGCAGTGGACACTCTGCTGGGGGAAGTGGTGCTGGTGCTCAACGAGACCCAGCAAGAGCTGCTGCACAAGGAACAGGAGAATGAGAGACTCAAGGTGCGTCTGGAGGTGTCTGAGAGGGAGCTGAAGACTTTACAGGAGTGTCTGTGCAGCGCTCAGAAGCTCATAGACCAGCTGCAGATCTCCTACACCGGCTCTCCGTCCATCGGGCAGTCCGTGTTCGCCCCGTCTCTCTCCTCCATGGCTTCAATGGCCTCAGGCTTGGACCGGGACCACCAGGGCGGCCGGAATGTGAACGGAGCCGGGGTGGACTTGGGTCTCGGTGGGTCAGTGGATGACTCCCTTCACGGGTTTGAGACAAGAGATGACTACAAAATGTGCCAGCTCTCTATCCAGCCCGACGGCTCTGTGACCAACCACGCGCTGGACACCTTTACCTCCAACACATCGCATATGTGCTCCGATAGACCAGGTAAATATGCAATTTGAACTGTGTGTATTAGGGCTAAAACTAGCTGTTATTTCCATTATGGATTAATCAGATGTTTACTTTGTGTTGTCAGTCCCAAAGATTAAGTTGAATATGAAATAAACCAGATAAAAGCTGTACCTCCACATTTGAAAGGCTTAGACCTCAGGTCTTCTATTTTGCATTGAAAATAACAATAATCAACAAAGAAGGCAAATGCTTTTTTTCTGGTTGACTCATTGATTAATCTAATAATCCATTAAACTCTATTCTGTTTTATTTTTTACGGTGTCCTTTGTCTTTGATTGTGAGTCAGAGCAAGTAAATCAAGGAGTTATTTTAAATGGACATATGGATTCATAGTTGTGTTTTAATATAGTATTCCTTTCACATTAACCATCTCTGCATGTTTGAATTTGTCTTTCAGATGAGAGGCAGACTCAGGGACAAGGTGGAGCTTCCAGTTTTGAGATTAAAGAGGAGCAGTTGCCCGGTTCAGGCTCCGGTCCGCCCGGCAGGAAGGACAACAGGGTCGGGGAGAGCGATCTTGGCTACGTTCAAGTTGGGGACGAGGGTTCCCAGCGTTCCTTTACTCATCCACTGCGTCACCAAAGACCTGTGCGAGAATGTGGCAGTGACTTGCAGCAGGGAGGACTTGATGGACAGAAACAGTTGGCTCGGACTCCTGGAGCCGGGAGAGTAGACGGCGTCTCACCGGGCAGAGCAGACGACTCTGCTGGACCTTCAGCCTCTGACACCCCAGTGGAGCCCTCTTTAGACCGGCCTCACCACTGTCTGGAGTGTGGGAAGACTTTCCGTCTGATCTCCAGCCTGAAGAAACACATCCGCATCCACACTGGAGAGAAGCCTTACCCGTGTGCAGTGTGCGGCCGCCGCTTCCGCGAGTCAGGGGCGCTTAAAACCCACCTGCGTATTCACACGGGTGAGAAACCATACTCTTGCTCAGAGTGTGGGAACTGCTTCCGCCACTTGGACGGTTTGCGCAAACACAGGCGCACGCACACCGGGGAAAAACCGTACGTTTGTGCCATCTGTGGGAAGCGCCTGAGTCGCCTGCAGCACCTGAAACACCACCAGCTGATCCACACCGGGGAGCGGCCCTGCTGCTGCCCCTTCTGCAACCGCAGCTTCAAGGAGCCCGCGGCGCTGCGCAAACACATCCGCACGCACCGGGAGGAGGGCGGTCACATGGGGATTGTTCCCGTGGACGACACGGAGCAAGAAACTCTGGACGACATTAACAACCTCCACCCGGCAGCGCCGTCCCCTCAGATGAGGTTCGGGGACTGGGGAGCTGACGAGGACGACAGCTCGGTGGTGGATTGTGTGTAGGAGCTTATACATATAGGAATAACTGTCTGCTGGCATTTTACCTATGAAACCTTCTCCGGGTGAAAAACATGGAACAAGGTGTTTGTGTGGTTTGTAAACACGATGGATAAGGTATCTCTGTTACATGCTGTCGAAGTGTGAGGCTACATATAACCCAAGCCTTGGAGCCTCGTTTATATCTGGTGTTTCCATACTCTTAGATGTAATTATATAACGTTTTAAAATATCCCACGGTACATTCTTCAACAACAACTATATTTGTTGGGACATTCATCAAGCAGCAGCGCAGGGAGATGCAGGTTTGCTAACTTCTCCTGCAATCATTTAGGAAATTGATAGCAGAAGTGTAGAGCTGTTTTCTCATTTAAAATAAAAGTGCCTTGAACACTCAGTCAACCATCAACTGCTGTTCAAGAGTTAAGTCAGGACAAGAGTTAAGTTACCACTCTGGTCATGAGTTTTTTATAGTTTCGCACATTAGAGATTGGGTAGCTGTTGAATTGTCCCGCAGTTAGTGATTAGGCACACTGGTTGAAATGGATCCATGCGACTGGTTCATGTTTCATGTGTGGACAAACATGCAGGAGTTCAGACCGTTTGCATTATGTTGCTTGTCAACGTTGACTAAACCAAACTTTACAGTATTTTTGGTCAACCTTTTTAAGTCTTTATCATATTTAAATAAGGTTGCTTGTGCTTTTAAACAATGTAAGAGGTGTATGAACAAAACAATGTGAATTTGTTTCACTTAATTGCGTCTTTAAAGAGCAGGAAAACAACTTTTTAAATGGTGGCAATTTGAACCCTTAGAGAATATCTGTCTCCTTTCAGGATAGCGATGTTTTACTACCTCTGTTTTTATCTTTGTTGCACTGCTTATCCTGCGTGTAGATATTTCAGCACTGTCTTTTCAAAAGTGCATAATGGCCGTTAAAAAATACAACAAATATTGAACTATAGTTCTCTGGTATTTTCACCAAGTTGAGATTAAAATAGCTATAATTGTTGTAAAAGATACGTTTGCTGCTATATGCATACACAATAATATTGAATGACTACAAAAATAGCATTAATAATGGATTCATTCAATTCAAAAGGGTTGCGTGTCCTCTCTCACGCTACCCAAATCCGTTAGCTTTAAAGCTATTTAAATATAACTACCTTTGCTCTCTTGTGTTTGTGTCTTAGGCGCCGTTTACACGAGGAGAAAACTGCTTGTATCTGCATAGTTTCGCGTGCGTATAGCCCTATTATTTACACGAGGCCGATAGAAACTGACCCCACAAACAATAACGGGTCCCAAGGTGGATAGATTTGCAAACGAAACGCTCTGGGGGGTCAACCGAGTCCGTGTAATCACCTCTATACGAATATTTCCTGAAAAAATAACGATAGCCCCGCCTCTCCCCACCTCTCCTGCTCACTGCTGTAGCAACTATCAAAAATAGCTGTGTTAATTAAACGCACAAGGGGTTCTTGAATGAAATAATATTATAAAAGGCAAACCAGAATTGTTAACGCCCAATATACTCCTTAAACAAAATAAACAGAGTCAGATTTCATGCATTGATCCATTATATTGACAAAGGAGGATCTCACCCGGTGTTTGTAGAGAATATCTCTCTCTTTCTGAGCCGTCCTCTCCACGGAGACGTGCTTCTTGGTCGGGATGCAATATCCACAGATTCGGTTTCTTTCAGTTTCTTTCAGTTTCAGTTTCGGGGCTTAAACAGAAGGGTAGCCATGGCAACATTGCAGCGGGGCTGCTCGGTTGCTCTTCTTCGCGGCTTTTGGTGTATTTTGGCGGAAGTTACAGCGCCACTTACAGTCCCAGCATATGTACTACAGCGTTTCCAGCGGCCTCGTTTGAACAGACACGTTAAATGAAACAAATGCATGTGAACGGAAGACTTTTTTGAATACGCATACTGTGCATAAACGCAAACGGTCCCGTGTGAGCGGGGCCTTAATGAATCCTGAACCAGTCCTAATCTTTACCTCTCACCTCTGCAGAGCTCCTATCAGTGACACAATCATAATGTGGTAAGTGAAGCTGAAGTGTGAAGAATATCTGAAGACATCCGACATTTATTCAGTCATTTCCAGAGCACCCAGATCAACAGCTTAGACTTTCTCTCGTTCTCTCCAGCTTTGACTCTAATTTCTCTCTTATGGACCATATGTTAGCATTCCCTTTTTTTTTTAATGCTGCTACTGTTTTGTCCGGAGAGCCTTAACCTTTTCTGGACTTGTATTACTGTAACCGGCCAGTCACTAGCGATCACTAGCGGACAGATTGAGGTGCTTGCATGTGCATATCTGTTCTTCCGCTAGCGTCTTATGCCTTCCGGCTGTTTCTGTACATAAGAATGTAGTCTTAGCCATTTTATCTGGATTAATGAGGGTTAACATTTGTTGAAAAGTTTATGTGCGAAAAAAAAATGAAAGAGTATGTGCTTTAAAAAGATGCTAACATGCTGTGTAATAACTTGTAATGTCATTCTTCCTGATGTTCTTCCTGTTGTGACACGACTGATGCATCAGGGTTTACAGCAGAGCATTAATCTTCTCGGCCTTTAAACGTAGGTCTCTGGTGTCTTTTACCTTGTATACTACTATAACAATCTTCATGTAACGATTCTATGTACATTTACAAGTGTAGGGTATTTTTAAAGGCACTCAAAATGTTAAATATATTACTGTATAGCCAGAAAAAGATTTGCCAAGGTAGTCTTGACCCCAGATAATCATATTTATTGTTTTTTGTATTACAAACAAAAGGGGGCCTTTGCATGTAGGTTTGAACTGTAATTACATTCTTCCTTAAAAGGTCAGTATTAAATGTGAAAACATATTTTTTAATGCATCTGTGTTGAACATATATCCCCCCTCATCACATTCATCCCGTTACCTGCTGTAAATGTTATTATATTAAAGGGCCTTGTTTCTACTTCTTGTCTTTCTGTGGCTTTCAAAAAACTAAATTAAGTTATCAATTTCCTCAACGATTCGGCAACTTGCTGAAACTTGATAAAGCCAAGAGTGCTTCCTAATTTTAGTTTATCCTAGCGTTATGACTTCAGTCTCACTCCCTTCGTATCGTGACAGGAGAACCGCGTTAACCCCGAAGGAGAGTTTTCTGAAGCTGTGCCAAACAGATTGTGTAGGTGCTGTCGACACGCCCAAAGGCCGGTCTCAAATAATACCCTTCCCTTCTCCAGATGCTGAGTAATGGCAGCTGTGTTTATACTATTATGCTATTTAAGGTGGCTCTTGGTATGATTACAGGAAACTGTAGTTAAACCTTTTTGTCTCTGTTTTTTGCTAATGCACCCTTCCCAGTGTTGTTTTAAACAATCTCATGTGATTGTAATAATGCTTGTGTAATCAAGTAATTTAATATGAGACAAAACTATTGTAAAAGTGAGTCTTTTAGGGGGAGAAAAGCTGCTGTATTACATGTTGATAGTCTGATTGATTTTATATAAACATCAGAGTTGCTGTTACCTACATGTGGATTATCTTTAAATATAACATATTATGCTTATTTTCAGGTTCATATTTGTATTTTCTGCCTCTACTGTGACATGTTTACATACTTTAATGTTCAAAAAGGTCTTTATTTTTCTCATTCTGCCTGTGCTGCAGCTCCTCTTTTCATCCTCTGTCTGAAACCAGAGCCCAGTCCTTTGCAGACCATTTAAAGGTCACCTATCTTGGGTATAAAAAAAAAATTGATAACAAACAAAAAAGGAGGGGTCTGAGCTCATGCGGGACCCGGCAGCTACTGTCTAAACTAAATACTGCCGTGATGAAACGCCATATCATGGATTATCAAGGATTATTTCTGAAACAGTATGGAGCTCAAAGGCTTTCTCTCTTGCCGGTTATACCACAAGGTGAGTTCCTTTTTATTTCCTGCTTCTTCACACACATGCTCTCCAGTACAGGTTAGCTCTGAGTGTTAGCGATGCTAATGTAAACATGCACCGACCATATTACGTCCAAAACAGTCGGGCATTGTTTCTGATAGCAACGTTTCTGATAGGGCCGTGGGTGTAAAGCCAGCCCACATTCCCGATATTACCTCATATCGGACGCAAATCTGGATCAGCTCCGTTGTAGCCCCGTTTTTAGAGATGTGGGTACGGAGGAAAAGAGAGGGTTTTATTTTCTGACGCTGCGTGAGTTCCCTGACACACCGGGGACACATAGTTATGTATAAAAGACATAAAAAAGTGCATTTTGTATGATAGGTCCCCTTTAAATGAAGAAAAACCTATTTAAAACGAAAGAGAAACCCCCCCCCCTAAAGAACCATAGGATAGGACCCCTATAAACTCTTCCCACTAAAACTGAATTGATTAAACCTGAAGACTTACTTAAGGGATGCAAACTTGTCCACAACAGAACTGATCACAAATGGGAGTTGTGACATCAAGTTGAAGCAAGTGCTGCAGAGAGCCCATAAACATATTTCCCTAAACGCATCAGTGGAAGTTCACACCTTGCAGAGCTTGTGATTCCTGAGAAAAAACAACACGTTGGTTAGTGAGAGAGAAGCATCTAAACAAGTCACAACAGATAGAGAGAAATTGTAATCTCACAGAAAATACTGCTAAAATAAATGCTCTTCCCTGCTGCAAAACAGGCCTCACGCTAAGACTCCATATATTTCCAACTGCAGTATCTGATGGCTATTATGCTCATAGAGAGTGGCTGATGTAAAAAGAAAACACGCCATCTTTAAATAAACATCTAGTACATTGCAATTCTGAAGTAGTTCTCTACTGAAATTGAGAGGGATATAATTCTTTTAAAACTACTGGTGCATATGAATACAGTTGTTAACTTCAACAATATATAAAAATGTTTATTTAGGGGCCATCAGATGTACGGTAAGTACTTTTATTTTGACTTTGACACTATGAAAACATCTTGATGATCTTTCTTCTGCACTTTTAATTTTGACTCGTAATGAAGTGTTATTACATTGTGCTGGTAATACTTACGCTATCGAACTCAGATAAACAGAGTTCCTTCTCTCTGTAAGCAGCCGTTTTTTATGGTGTGTAATTCAGATGCTTATTTCTCTTTTCTGTTTGTCATCAATCTCTGCTGCAATGACTGACATTGTTTCAGGTTTCAGGTTTCAGTTTTCAGAAGGGAAGTAATTCAATTGCACTAATAATAATCCTCCGGGAGGGTTTATGTGTGACCTACAGTGTGTGTGTGTGTGTGTGTGTGTGTGTGTGTGTGTGTGTGTGTGTGTGTGTGTGTGTGTGTGTGTGTGTGTGTGTGTGTGTGTGTGTGTGTGTGTGTGTGTGTGTGTGTGTGTGTGTGTGTGTGTGTGTGTGTGTGTGTGTGTGTGTGTGTGTGTGTGTGTGTGTTCCTTGGCAGCGGATGATGCAGTGATGGCTAGTAGCGGAGGCGGAGAGAAATGTGAGAGCGGCCTGTGAACTCTCTGCAGGCCCATGCAGTCATTTCCTCAGCGACTGAAGGTAAACACTTTGGAGAGGAAGTGACTCAACTCTCTCTTTTGCTTTCTCTCACTTTCTTTAGTCTCTTCCTCACTCTCACCCCTTGTCCCTGTGACCCCAACATTTTCACATTTTTTATTGTTAACGTCGTGTGATTGACGTTTCCCAGGCATAAGTTTAACATATGACTGAAATTAGGTTTTTAGAGGTCTTTGGAACTTTTCACCCTCTGTCTGAAACCACAGCCCAGTCTGCTCTGATTGGTTAGCTGGCCGGCTCTGTTGTGAGTGGACGACTAAAGCTAGCTACACACCAACCCGATTTTGGGAGTCAGAGGCCGTCAGAGGCAGTCGGGCATTCGCGGCGCCCTACTCAGGTTGGTGTCCCCCGCACCGTCGTTTCTTTACGGCACCTTTTCACACCTCCCGCGGCCATTCAACATGTTGAATCGGCCGCGGGAGGTCAGAGAAAGTCGGCCCAAGCAATCACTCTGATTGGCTGTTCACACTACCGCTGCCTGCTGGTAAGGACAGTTATTGCCACTCGTCGACTGAAGTATTTGCGGTGTGTTCGTAGGCGGGCGGCGTAGCGGGCGACGCAGGCGACGTAGCTGACGTAACATTCGGGACGCCTTCGGTACGCGTTCTTTGGTCTCAGGTGGGTGTGTAGCGGCCTTAAGAGATTTCCCTTAGCTTAAAATGTGTTGGAGCGCTAGCCAGTAAAAGTGCAGGTGTTACATAGTGATGTCATTATGTTACGGAAGAATGGAGGCGTTTCAGGCAGGGGAGGGAACTTTTGGATTTTAGGCTTTGCAGACCATTTACATGCATACAAACCTAGATAATACTTCACAGGAAAGGGAAAACCCCAAAAAGCATAATAGGGCCTCTTTTAAGTGTTGACAAGGACAAGAAAAAAGCAGTTTCCTTGGTATCTGATGGTGAATTTGTACATTTAAAGTGCAACATTTTCGATAGATGAACTGACATGATGTGTGTGATAGAAACTGACCTGTGGAACTCATCACATCGTGTAACACACATCTGTAAAGCTGTAGTGCAGATGTCACATATTTTTCTCACTAAGGGAATACCTACATTTTGAACTATCACGAGACAGAAACCAGATGTCCACCTAGCTGTGTCCTTACAGGTGGAGTAACCCCTGATGCTGACCTCAGCACGAACCCCATGACCTACCATAAAATGTCTACACATTTTTCTATGTCTGAAACTTGGAAAACGTTTTTATTGACATGATATAGTGATATAGTTACTGTAGTCTGATCAAATAGTAAGTTATAGAGATAATGCAGGGTCTATATTGTATCTGATATATACGTTTCCATAGCTAAGACAAATGCACATTGTAATACTTGTGTAGCCTATATCAGAAACTAATCAAACACAATACAGATCAGTATTTCTTAATTCTCAGAGTGACACACACAGCTTTACAGACTTGATTTGAAGAGTGTGTGTGGAGAGGAGAGGAGGGGGTGTTAGTTAGTATGGAGAAATAATCAACAAGGAAACCACTTTCAGCTTCGCTGCTGCACCGCCTGGCTGGCCCGCTGCCAGCTTTCTCCAGAGAGGGTTGGCTCACCCCTTCTCCTCCTCTCCTCCTCCCTTCTTTCTCTCCCAATCCCACATACGCACTCTCTCCAAAGCAACTGGCGAGAAGAAGGAAGGAGCGACACAAAAAGCGAGGGCAACTTTTCAAAAAAGTACTGCAACGAGGGAAACTTTTCTTAAAGATGTCCAACGTGTCGGTTTTGCTGACGGATCACTTGCGAGGGAATTGATATATTTTTTTTAAGGAGAAATCAGGAGGGGACGCGCTTTTTTTCTTCTTCTTCCACCGTATGAAACGTCAAAAATCTGCCTGGGTTTTTACAGAGCAGGCGCTTCTGAGCTGGAGTGATTTAATGTCCCCGGGTCTCTGTGCAGGGCAGTGAAGGATGCCAGGATGCCCCCTCTGATCGCCCATCTGCTGGTCATCTGGCTGAGCGTCCACAGGCTGGTGTGGTGCACGGAGCGCTCCTCCACCCGGGAGCGCTTCAAGGTGGTCATCTCTCCTCTCATCTGCAAGAGGATCTGTGTGAAGGGCCAGTGTCAGGATACCTGCGAGCAGGGCAACAACACCACGCTGATCGCAGAGAACGGCCAGGTGGCAGACACGCTCATCGGACAGGGCTTCAGGGTCGGTGAGTGGAACACTGTTTATTTACAGGCGGATATAATGAGGCCGCCGAGATTAACTAATAGTGCTGCTCTGACCTCTTAGTTTATCCTCTGTGGGGAGAAAAGGGAGTCCTGTTTGGTTTGCTTATAAATGGTGCTTTACTGTACATTTATTAAAAAAAACGTGACATAGCCTATTAAGATGTAGCCTACGTTATAACTAGCTTTTTAACACTTTCAGACATTATTATTGGACAATAACTAGCCTATACTTTGAATCGTTAATGGAAACAATAAAAGTGCCAACCATGAAACTCTCCATAAAATGCTCAAAATGGGCCCTGTTATAACAAGTCAATGGTGGAAAAAGTATTACAGCAACTTCCTAATTAACTAAAAAATAACTACTTGACTCTATTGCAAGGAAAAGTCTTGCTCAATGCTTGTGGATTGTTACTTCAGAAAAAGTACATTAGTGATAGAAAAAAAGTACATTAAAGCGAAAGTATGCTTCAACAAATTGACCCCTTATAATGTCTCTGACTTAGATTGTCTAGCATTTTTTAACAGTTGAGGAGCTGTTTGGTTTGCAAAATGTTAGAAAATGTGTTTTGACATGTGTTTCCCAAAGCCCAATATGTATTTCCCAAATGTTCTGAACAAGTCAAACATATACAGTTTACTGTCACAGTCACAGAAGAGTAAAGAAACCAACACATATTAACATTTGAGAAGATATTTTGGACTTTTTCAAACAAAAATACTGCATATGACCATGAACTGCAGAGTTGTATCAACATATGTTACAAAGTCCTTTAACATTGAAATAGAGTACAAATACTGCCACATAAAAATGACAATGATCCCTTTAAAGGTCATTATCTTCTTTATAATTTACAGTACATCAATTTGACACCAGCCTATTAATCCACCTTGAATACATGTCATTAAAATGTATGCTGAGTGGGAATGAACTCTGCTCTGCAAATAAATAGGTGACTACTATGAGGTGAGCTGGGTTTACCCTCCACTGCTGGAAAATGTTTCCATATTACACTTTAATTACTGAGGCATGGCTCATTACATAGCATATAAATGTACTCCTAAGATATATACTTCCCCTCTGACTCCAGTGTCTAGTTGGCATGAGAGGAGCCTTTCTGCCGTATCAGATCAGCTGTGGTGAGACGTGGAGCCACACAGTCTACGTCAGGCTCCGGCCCAGAACTGAATTTCACTGCTCCACTTCTCTCTTACTCGCTCAGTGTACAGAATAAGAAGCTAAATAAGAAAACGATGTGTCTGAGTTGGTCTGTTGTGAGTAAAAAGGAGCTTCTTCTGTGGAGGACAGGAGTGGATGTTGTCTTTTGTTCACCTAATTTGATATAAACCCCATATTCAGATAACATTTAACCCATCGCAGCATAATGTGATCAGGCAACAGCTTTATTTCTGTGGTCCTCACACTGGCGTCTTCTGTTTCTGGAAGATAAAAAGTACAATCAACTGAAACACTCCCAAAAGTTATATCCGTCTAACTTAAAAACAACTTGTTTTTCTCCTAAACTGTCGGCGGTGATTGCGTCCAAAGTTTAAAGCGGCTCTGGATGCTTACACAGGTTTGGATTATAAAGGGGAAGCTAAGATGCAATGCTACTGAATGAGGAATATATAGATATAAATAGGCCATCCAAGGCTATGGAAAGCCGGGAGAGGAAATCATCAGCAAATATTTGATAATTGCTGCGGGGTTGTGTTGCTTTTTCGGTCATACTTGGTCATACAGATCTCCAGATGTTTTCATTGGTTTGCTGTAGTGGAAAGAAGCAGGCTGCATTTAATCGAGGTCAAGTGAATCCTCCTTGTTTTGCCTTGGCAGGATTCTTCCTCCTTGACACCATGCAGTGCTGTGGAGTCAGAGCATTGGCTCTGCTCCCTCTTCTCCCCCGACTTCTTTGTGGTGCATCACGTTTTGGAGCTTCTGTGTCAAATCATTTAGGAGAGACATTTTAGATTCCTGGAATGCCTCATGCTGCTTTACATTGGCTCTGTGCAGTGAAGCTCTTCAGTCACCTGTCTCCTGGGTTTCACAGGCAAAGCATCTGAAAGAGATTTTAAATGGGTCTATTAGTTTTTTTGTGGCAAAGGGGATAGAGGGTTCATCTTGGATTGGAGAGGAGATGTGTGTTGTTCAGTTTGAGGGCTGGAATGTGGTGTGGACAAGTGGAAATGTCTCTCTCCCGTGTTAAAACGGCCATGCCTGTAGCAGAAACAATATGAAGACTTTTCCATATTTGTGCTGTTGTGACGTCAGCACCGCGAGGCCCAAACTAAGTAAACCTTTCCTCCACAGAAATGTATTTCCTGTCAGTGTGTGCAGAATGCCTTTCAGTGCATGAGCTTCAATCTGTTCACGGTTTTTCACAGACGGTAAAGTTCAATACTGGAATTTAAGTGGACAGGCAGGCGAAGGATCAAGAAACAGTCAGTTTTGAGTAGATATCTGGGATTTCTGCCAGCAGATGAACTATTTTTTGGTCCATTACTTTGAGTCATAGAGAGAGACTTCATTGGGCAGTTTAACATGGAAAAGTGACCGAAAGCTTGGGAATAAGAAACTGGGGACATTGCTGTTACATGGTATACATCTGCTCCGAACCATTTTAAATCCTAACGGCATGTTTACAGGATCATAAATAAATGTAACCTTACATTTAAGTTGGATGGGGGTTAAACATCTGTAGAGCAAAGTAGAGGAGTCAAGATGTCCGTGTTGGCAGATGATCTAAGGAATTGTTTTGCCATTGTTCACGTATTCATCCACAGCACATTCTCTTCACTGTGCTATGATACAGAGACAAGAAAGCAAAGATGTAATGTTTACATATCTTTTTGTCATGCTAGCCGCTCTTTGTATTGCAAATATTTGTCTGTAGGTCAGTCCTTTTGGATCCAAACTCAAATATGTCAACTATATTGAATGGATTGCTATGAAATTTGGTACAGACTAGTGTTTGAAGGGTTTGTGTTTAAATGGACTATGCAGATATTTAGAAAGCAGGGCGGACAATGTATAATGCTGATATATCGTTACATTTTGTTGCCCTTTTTATTTATTTAACACTCACTGTCTGCAATGTCTCTGTTTTCTTAAGTAGATCTGCACTCTGCCTGCCGTGCACTTATTTTTTTTAAATTAACAATGTGCACAGGTTGTCAAAGCACCACACTTTATGAAAAATAACAAAAACTCATGAATGAAAAATGGGTTTAGGTCACTTAACAACAGAACTTATAACCGGAAGCAACATCTCTTAGTCACATATGTAACCCTGCATACATAAATAACACATTATCATTGTTAGTGTAATGGACTTTATTGGTGTTGGCACATTGACATTTTTAAATAGTGAGGGTGACATTTGTGGTTATGTGTAAAATACCTTCATAACAATCTGATGGGTTGCTATGAAACATAGTATTCAGATATTCGTGTCCCCCTCAGGATGAATTAAGGCTTTTTAGAGGGACCCTAAACAGTAAATGATTACATTAACAACATTCACTCGCTACAGGTACATGAAGACAAATCGGCAACTCTTCTGCACTTTGTGTCCTATGTGAGAGATCTTACACACACACAGTCAGGGATTACAGAATATCTGTTCTGGTTAAGTAGGTAGCAGTTAGACTAAGTACTTGGCTATTTAATATATAGTATACAGCATACATCATAGCATAATCATTATTTTACACATGTTCTCTGAGCTCAAGCATACACTGCAAATAACATACTACATGCTTTCTCCTTGAGTGAACACTCACACAACATATGTAATCTACATTCTGCAGTGAAGATGATATATGCCTGATATGCTCCGGTCATATGTTTCCAGGGATCCACATGACATGTCATTGATATATCCATATATCAAAACACACTTCCTAAAACTGATGAAAGCACGGAAACTTGAAAGCCTCCCAGCCATGTTGGCAGGCAGATTCAAGTTGGCGTTTACAGCCTGATTCGACTTTTTCTTGGATTCTACATCATATCAAGTCATCTTCGGATTCGGTGGGGGCAGTATCAGCATTTATGTCGAGAATAGGATGAATGATCTTGCAAGTCTCATTAGTAAAACATTGTAAAAATCTTATCGCATGTCCTCCTCCATGTCTCTACTGTATGCAACCTGAACCTGTTTACCGACAGATAACAGGCCTGTCTTTGTAATTATGTCCATGTGTTTGGCTGACAAAATATCCAACGGCCAACCTTTTCAATCCTTAGCACGTGGAAGCTTGGTGTAAATTGCAGGATCGGGTGAAGTAGAGAAGTTTTTCTGCTCCTTGGAGACTGAGTGTTTTTGTTTATGTGCGAGCATCTGCCTCACACTTTGACCACTTGTAAAAGAAGTAGTCCATTTTTTTTCTTGCCGTTGCCAGCAGAAAGGCATCCCATCCATCAGCCTCACTGACAGCTGCTGCTCTCTCTTCTGCATCTCAACACCATCTCTTTTCTATCGGGGCTCCAGACATCCAGGCTACTCTAGATTATCCTTTTTTTTCTGGAATAACTTAAAGCATGGGGCCTCACGTTGCACAGGAAGTGGTCTTGTCATATCCCGGTCTGGTCTGGTCTCCCCTAAAATGGGCATCATGAGAAGTGGATATGGCTATTTCAGGATTTCCCATGTGGTTCTTTATTTAGAGTCAAATGACAGTAGTAGCCCTGTGGTTTGTTTTGGTTTGCTGTTGGCATGGGTCAGAGGTCCATGGGAGCCTGAAAATATAGACAAGTTCCTTAAATACAACAGACATAGCCGGTTGTGCTTTCTCTCTGTTTAGAGTTTATTTTACCTTTCATAGCCCTCTGCTCTTCCCCACACACTCTTCTTTCTCTCATGCCAGAATTTGGAGAAGGCGGTCTAACACAGGCAACCAAAAACCTGCAGCACTCCGTATTTCTGCCACAGGTTGGACTGAGCTCAGAGGAGAAGCTGGGCCCGTCTCCCATACTCAC